CAACACATATCGTGAGCGTGAGACTAAAGAGGTTGATCATAATGTTATTGTTATATAGACTAAAACTGCCATAACGCCAAACTTCTAATTTCACATTCAATGGCATGCATTACTTCAATGAGAAACAATATTTTATTTTTTCTATTTATAATTCATCAGAATAATAGTTTGTATGTAAGTCACATTTTTGTGTAAAAATATCATTGACTGCGATGACGTTATGATAGTCCCCAAATAAAATCCAGTTTTTCTCAACGCGCCCTCTGTATTTGACATGGTTTGGCTCCCCCTAGAGGTGCGGTGGATCACTGCAGTCAGGTTTACCAGTGGGGGGGGGGGACTGCATAAATGACCTCAAGTAAATTTCTAAACATTGACATTTTCACTAAAACAATAAAATGATAGTTTTAAAATCACACCCACGTATAGAGCATGTTTTGTTGCCATGTAAAGCCTTTTCCTATTTCCTGTATACCAACTGGCCGATGACATCATTTCAGTCAGGGTATGCGGGCAGCAGGAGGAGCAGGACGTCAGTCGGTTGTTGGAGTTAACCGTCCGCTAAATACAAGTTCTTATACCGGAGAAAGACCGTGTTTAATCTAGGATTTTAGTCTGTAGACAACTATTAGAGGCACAAATTAGCCAAATTAAAGCGGCCATGGAGATGAAAAAACAAAACTCGGTGAGAAAACACAACAGCTCATACTTGTGTCGCTAATTGTGTAGCTAGCTAGATAACGCTACGCTGCCCGGTAGTTTTACAGTAATTACGTTACTTTTGTGAGATTGGACTATAAAACATAAAGGCAGCCGTTATGAACATGTTTGGTCAATTTATCGGCTTCAAGCTCACGAAAGTGACTCAACGTGCTATTTTCTTAAATGTGCTAATTCTTAAAGTTACTTTTGTTGATTTTGTTTACTTTTTAAAACTTTGATTGTGCTTTTTGGTCCAAAATGGACATTGTTGTTCCAGATGGTAAGCAACAGAGCTATCATTTTTAGCTAGCTCTACGTTGATCCGGTTAACACTAGAAACGAGTTTTGACAGTACACTTCTGTGCTAAACTTTAGCTAACACTACATAAAATTGATTTAACTTTGTCCGGGATCTTTGTTATGTTACTGCAGGTGCAGCAATGTTGTTTCAAAGAAAAAGAAAAAAATGTGTTTATTGTTTGAAAAGGTTAATAATTAAACATTTAGTCTCTTTGCTTTGTGCCTTTCTTGCCAGACAAAGAAAGCGTTTTCATTCCTTTTTGCTTTTGACCTGGTGTAATCAAATCCCTCCAAGATATAGATTTAAATACTGTATGTGTTGAATTAACAGATCAAAGGGTTTTTAATTAAATAGCAACAACTTTATAATTAATAACCAGGGGAAAGCATGCCCACATTACAAAAACTGCTGAAAAATACTCTTTAATTTTGTTGTCTACTATAAACTAGTATTGTAAAGCTCTCTCAACCTGGGGGGAATATATATATATATATGTGTATGTATGTATGTATGTATGTATGTATGTATGTATAT